CCCCCCCCCCCCCCACTGACGAATTCTTAAAAAATGCCTTGCACCCAATTTCTTAACTCTTCTGATATCACTTTTCAACTAACACGAGAGAGTTAAATTTGCTGTAACTTCCTTCGTCTTTCGTAACTCTGTTGTTATGATTGGAAAGTAAGGAGAGAGTTAAATTGTATTATTATGTAAAAGTAACGCCAATTATGTTCCAAAAAATTAACGATTATTAAAGAACGTTTTTAGAAGCTAGACGGCAAAGGAAATACAACAGCTTTGCTGTTATTTATGCTATAAACTCACCTTGATCCATTGACACTTCAATTTGTAAATCCCTAGCTTTACAACTTTTATAATTCGTTATATCATGAAGCAACTTCCTGCCGTTTTCAGTAAAATTATTTGCCCCAAGCCACAATTTTGTTAGCTTGCAATGTTCATCTTCCAATCCTGTACACAAACTGGGTATGCAATGATCTGTTAACGAACACTTGTCAAGACACAACCTAGTAAGCTTACAATGCTTTTTTGTCAGGGCATCTTCAAACAACATGCATGCACCTTCATCACCTATGGCATTCATTTTCAGTGATAGATCAGTCAGTTGACAACGTTCATCTTGCAGTGCCTTGACTAACGTAGAAATACATCGATCTGTTAACTTGCACGCACTGACATCCAATGTATTAAGTTTACAAAGCTCTTTTGTCAGAGTATCACACAACACCCTTGCACCCACATCATATAATGAATTATTTCGAAGATTCAAATGTGTAAGATTTGGACAATGTCCATTGTTAAATACTTCACAAAGTTTCGAAATTTGATGCGGGTCAATTTCATTTGAAGGTAAAGTTAACTGCTCAAGTTGGCTCGCATGCCCGTTCTCAATAAAATTGCGCATGGTGGGTAAACGAGACTGTGGAGAAATCTTAACTGTTAACGAAGTCAGCTTCGTGTGTTTGTGGTCCAATTTGCAGTTTAATTCCATTAATGCGCTAAATACCTCGCTATGTGATACACCTTCTATTTCTAGTTTATTTAGGCATCTTTTTCGTAGCAATCCTAGAACCTCCGGACAACAATCTACGGCAAATTGTAACAATGTTAAGTTTGCCAATTTTGTCATGTGTTTGCAAACAAAATTCACTGCCGCCCACTCACTTGAAGAAAGATTATAAAGTGTTGAAGTGCGTAGTTCTACCAAATCGTTTATAGCAGTTGTTTTGCAAACTTCTTTGGTAATTTCTTCATCGCCCGCTTCTTTTAAACACTTCATTATAAACACTTCAAAGTAAGTAGCTTCAATTTTACAATTGGTAACTTCCAAGCCTTCCGCAAACGCAAAAATACAATCCTTGTATTTCCTATCAAAATTCTTGATTTTCTTGCCCAAATGTCCTGCAATGAACTGAAGAACTAAATGCCATCTGCCACTTTCAACATGGTCGGAAATAAACTTCTTTATTTCGGGTGGAGCAAATGTTTCAGTCACGTGTCTTGCGGCAAGAAATTCTTGTATGGTTAAATGGATAAAGCAAAATTGCTTTTCAAGTCGGAAAATAGGGTTGGATAAACTGTTCAACAAACAAGATTTTGTCATTTGCTCGTCGAATAATTCTTCATCAAAAATCAATTGCCCATTCTCCATACCACAAAATGCTAATTGTTGAAGTTCCTTTAACGTTTCCTCTGTCATAGGGTTTATGTCTGTATTTCTGTGATGATATTTTTCAAAATGATCTACGGTTGTCTGGAAAAGTTCTGTCAGTGTTGGAAGAGCACCAGTTTCATTTATTGGGTCACTAAGACATCCAGAGAGGGTAGCACACACTATAAAGCAGTTGCCTGGAATGTGACATAAGTTTAACAGTTCTGATGAGCATTTTATGTGGTTCAATAGCTTCATTTTAAGGTCGCTCGTGTTATTATGGTCACAAAAGCGCTTGACATATTCTTCAATTTTATCTGAGGTGAAACCAATAATCTCCACATTTCGATCAAAATCAAGTCTCGAATAAAAATCATCTGCAGTCGGTCTGCTTGTTACTACAACCGTTGCTCCTTTCAACAAATCACCCAAAACTAGCTTGACGAATAATTTCATTGCCGACATGCAAATATCAGGATCGTTTAGAATTATTCTAGATTGGTCTAGGCAATTAATGAGGTCGCCGTGATATTCATCCAAACCATCAAAAATAAGGATTGCCTTTTGTGGGTGTTTAGTTATTTCTTCATAAATACTTTCACATTTTTCATCGCTCAGTCCCGTCCCAAAGCAAAGAAATTTCTTCAGGGATATGTTTTCTAATTTATTGTTATTGTTATTGAACCAGCTGAATTTAAAAAGCAAGGCAATCTTGTCATAGTAATATTCATCAACGCCATTAGCCCAGTCACGGAGAATTTTTTCGGTTAAGACCGTTTTTCCAATTCCAGGACGTCCAATCGCCAGAATGCTGCGAGGAAAATTACCCTTTGTATCTGCGTTAGTACGAAATAAATCTTTAATCTTTTCTAAACGTATTGAGGTTACAGGAACTTCCATATAAACATCGTAGATCTCGTGTCTGTCCATTTCTTTTAAAAATTCGTGTTGAGCTCGTCCAGTGTGGATAACAACGTCAATATAGAGATCGTCTAAACATGCTTTTGGTCCACAGCTTATGTCAGGTGCACGAGAACGATTCAAAACTTGTTCTTTGTAAAAATGTATATATTCCTGAAGGTTGTTATTATATGGCGCAATAGCGACTTGGTTTCGAAGAAAGAAAGTGGTGACAAATTGGGTATCACGTGTCCATGAACCAACTTCATAATGACGGTTGAGGATTGGTAAACGTGGCAAAAGATAAATCACTTCCAAAAATGTTACTAAGGCAACCACACTGTTTATTACAGACACAAATATACCCCATAACCATTTTTCCGACGCTGCCGCATTCTCGCATGTTACTAATGTTCTATTCGAATTATGACTCTCATTCTGTGGTGTATTGATGTTGGATGTTACTTCGGTTGGCAGGAAACTACAGCTGAATTTCGAATCGAAACCACTGGGATAGAAATATGTGTACTGTAAAACAATTAAAATGATCCCAAGTAACATTCGAAGAACGAGGTGGACAAAGTAGAAATAGAGAACATACACAGTTCTCTTGTTTTGTCCACGATTCTTATTTCTTGTTTTGTCCACGATTTTCATGACGGCTTCGCCATCAGTTTGCCGTTCAGGGCGGGACACTATTTCGTCGACACGAGTACGCACTATCAGTGAGTAAATAACACTGACAAGAATTGTGAATCCAGTACTCAGTAAAACAAAGCCATACAAAGCCACAGGAGAGTTATAAGCTTGGTCGTATTTTGCCAAACATGCCTGATCGACCTGTTTCTTGTAAGTGGCCGTACTTTTAGCATCAACAGAGCAAGAAAATTTCCCGTTTTCATTTGCATCCCAAACTGCAGTAACAATAGAAAATATGAATCCAAAAAGTAAATGAGTAATTAAACATATGTAGGCGACAATACTAAATCTTTTCGAAGGTAAAAATGCGTTGTACACGTCCGCTATCATCTTAATATTTCATTAAATATGTCTCTGGAACAGCGTTCAATATTCATCTTTTCGAAGGTAAAAATGCGTTGTACACGTCCGCTATCATATTAATATTTTATTAAACATATCTCTGGCACAGCGTTCAATATTCGTGACGTTGTGAAATTTGAGTAAAAATAACAATAACAACCTGCAACTGTGGTTTTCATTATATGAAATGCATGCATGGGGAAGTTTCGTTTCTCTGACATTGTTAAAATTTATTGATTCAAAATTGATTTGAACTATTACTTAAAATGAGTAGACTCCATGCCCAAGATTTATATTTTTTTATATTTTAATATCGTAGACTTGGATGAAGACTTATACCTCAACCTGGTTGTGTCAATTATTAACGTTTAAGAAAATCTGCATTAAATTCGGAAACAAAAATCTTAAAAAAATAATAAGATATAGACTGGACCTCTGGGACTGGGGAGAACAGTTTAGAACTGACATAGCTATTAAATATATTTGTCTTTGTCTCGCAAATATGTCTCCGCTGGTCAGTAAATTGCGGACGCTAGCGAAATTTTTTCAGCAAATCACGGCAATACATTTGTCAACAGCCTTTAAATAAACGAGCTTAAGTTCTTTCACATCCACTGCTTCCTTCCCAAACGAATAAACTATTTCAATTTTAATTAAATACAATACAATACAAAAGTAACTCCGAAAACAGCAAACATTTTGAAAAGTGTTTATTCGACGTTTCTGATCAGATTTTAATTTATAGTCATATTACATTCCACAGGCGGTGTTACGTTATCTGCGTCGAATGCTTAAAGGTGAAAACTTTCCTCAAACTAAACGCATTATTACACATATAATAAAGAGAAGTGATACTTGTACAATCATTCATGTCTGATATGATTGCTAGCTTTTGGATTAAGAAGGGTATGAAAAAAACTGAATTGCATATCAGAAAGTGTGCTCAGATTTCGGCCTAGAAAGTGTGCTCAATAAAATTCCGGAGCAGGATGCCCCCAAACTAGTTCAAACTTTTAACTTTTCATGTGCATATAGCTCTACAGTTAGTGTGCGTTACATTTAAACTACGACTGAACTCACGACTACAGGAAATCATAAACGGAATTTCCGCCGGCAGGGGTCTGGGGGCACAGTCAGTAGTGGGACAGGGTTGGGGTAAGAGGGCGCAGCCCAGGAAATTTTGAGATTTTTGGTCGTATTTAGTTCAAAATCGTTGTTTTTATTCTTATTCAGTTCAAAATTTTTGTTTCAATCATACTATTGTCATTTAATCCAACGAGCTTTTAAATTTTTTTTTTGGGACGGGGGTGTTGCAAACTTTCCGGGGTGGGAAAACTAAGCGGGTGCAAAGTACTTTAGATGGGATGTGCATCCCTTTGCACCGTCCGCAAATCGTCTATGCAAGACAATATAGCTAGCTGATGATTGTCCTAGAAGTTCAAGAGTATGGAAATCAATTTCCTAAACGAGCACCTGATCCCAAAGATCTCAGACGATGGAACGACCACTGGGGCCCCAAAGTTAATAAATTGTATCTTGGGCTCCCATCCATTTCTGATACAGACACCACGATAGTGTGACAAATAGCGTTTATATTTTTACAATTTTTATTTAGTCATATTTACAGGAGTGTATGGCTACTCACACGACTAAATTATATGCACATATATAGACGTGATATCAATTATCAAATAGCAAGCGCGACGTTTTTGTCAACACGGACGTCAGATTGTCGAGGGGGGACTGGATTAAAAACTGTGTTTATGTCAGTTTGTGGTAATCTTCAACACATATGACAAAACATAAGATTTTTAAAGTTTCTTGCTTCCTTACACGAGCGCTATGATGCAAAATGCCGCCAAATGTCGGGTGTGACAAAAACGTCGCTTACTTAAGTTCACTATTCTCTATTTTACCACTTTGGTATTTCTCACATCATCAAGTAGCCTTTTCCCGATTTCAGTAAATTTATTTGACCGAAGCCACAATTTTGTTAGCTTACAACGCACAGCTGCGTATAGTATATTAAGCAAATGGTATGCTCCCTATTATTATTATGCCAGGTCCTGCGCATGAATATTTGACAAAGACTAAAACGAAGGACTGAGTTGCAGACTGAATTGGACGGCTAAAATATCTGCCTCACCTTGGGCATATTGTGCAACGGTAGAATATAAATAAAGTTCAGTGGTTACAGTCTCGGTCATTCATGTAAAATGATCATACCCAGGACTGACCCCGGTACTTATCCGGGTAAATTGTCATTTTCAAATAATTGTTGTTGGCGGAACTGGTATCCAGCGTCGGTGAAACAGTTGCTATTCCATTTCTTTGTCCTTCATCAGCACTGAATATTAAACAAAAAAATGACCATTATGTGATTAGATACTAATTGCCAAATTATTGTTACTATAATTATAAGTTGTTGTTGTTGTTGTTGTTGTTGTTGTTGTTGTTGTTGTTGCTGTGGTTGTTGTTGTTGTTGTTGTTGTTGTTGTTGTTGTTGTGGTGGTTGTCGTTGTGGTTGTCGCTGTCGCTGTCGTTGTCGTTGTTGTTGTTGTTCTCTTATCTCAAAGCACAACTACTGGTACTTTCATATCTTTATATTATCATTATTATTTCCGCCGGTAGGTAATGTTTTCATCGGCGTTTGTATGTGTTTGTCTGTCAGCGCGATTACTTAAAAAATATCAAGCGTATTAATACGAAAATTTGTGAAACTGATGAACATTACCCAGGGACAAATTGGTTGAATTTTGGTCAACTTTGCATAAAAATTGGATGCGAAATTAGCAAAAGTGCCGAGCAGAGTAAACTGAATACATAATTAGCCCATTGACATTGTATAATTTATGCGCGATACATAACTTAATTCGCTGGCGGAGGAATGCGAGTGTCATCTAGTTATTATTATTATTATTATTATTATTATTGACTAGTAATTAAAAATGGATTTTTAAAATAAATATTCAGCACACAAATTATCTAGTTAAAAATGAATTATACAAACTCACTTGATTCCAGGCGGAACAGTTGGTTCTGGTTGATTGGTTACTCTACATGCTATATGGACCATGAAACAAAAACGCCAAGGTTAGTTTTATAAAGTCAGTTATTATATTTCAATCTATACAGTTTCTAGTTTTAAGTAGTATAACTAGACGAGCATAGGAAATAAACATGGTGTAAGTCCATTCCAAGAAATTGTCAACATATAGAGAAATACTGTCCGTGGTTATATGACACCTAGCAGTATAATAGTCAATAATATTAAGCAAACGAAATATATTCACCAGAGGGGGATGTGTCTTCAATTCGTTTTGGCAAAGGATTGTTGTTGGCGGAACTGGTATCCAACATCAGTGAAACAGTTGCTGTTCCATTTATATGCTCTTGTCCAACACTGAATATTAAACAAAAAATTACCATTATGATTTATTAATAAATGCCAGTTGCCAAATTATTGTTATTATAATTGTAATGTTATTGTTGTTGTTGCTGTTGTTCCCTTATCCCGAACCACAACCGCTGGTACTTTCATATTATTTCCAATGTTTTATCCGGTTTTTTTATTTCGTTCGTAAATGCCATATCAATAAATATCTTCCTCTTTTCTTTATATTATCATTATTATTATTATTATTTTACGTGCGTTTGCCCTAAGAGCTTTCAGCTCATCCGCGAAAATTTTTCAAGTAATTTAATTAGGAGAAACTTGATGGACAAATTTGCTATCGGACAGTTACAATGAGAAGAAAACAGAACACAGCTGAAACTATTATTATCTTAATTACCGCTCAGACTCTTTAATATAAAGCTGAAAGTAAAATATACTTTCATTTTGTCGTGGTGACAAAACAGAAATTTTTTGTATTTTTCCACCCCTAGGACTGCATTTCGTGCGTTTGCTAAAACATATTTTCGTATATACAGCATTACATTATACTGAGATAGACTAATCTAAGTTTATAATCTAAGTATATAGGGTCTGCGATATGCTATCCACTTTGAAAATTTTAAGATCTTTATAACACAATGTTGAGCAATTTTATAACACAATGTTGAGCATTTTTAAAAAGACATCGAATCAATTGAAGATACTAACACAGGACACAATATTCACAAAGAAAGGTTCAGTTACTAGAATATATATATATATATATATATATATATATATATATATATATATATATATATATATATATATATATATATATATATATATGT